TGGCCCCAAGATTTAACGCGGCTGCATACACAAGGCAGGATTCGAACCCCTGACCTTGCTTAAGCATGGATCAACTCCTACCGCTGAACCACACGCTTGGGGTTAAGCTTTATTGGTCTTTAGTTTTCATTCATGTGATTTTATTTTATTTAATGTTTGATGATCCTTTAATGGTAACAAATATTAATTCGAATGAATATATTTTATATAATTTAAAAATTATAAGAAAAAAGTGTGTAAATTAATTTAAGATTATAAAACACGTGACGTGACCCTCAAAGGAAGATACAAAAATCTAGGACACGAGGATGAGAAAAAAAAAATGAATAAAAAATTACGATTGCTATTACACAGAAATAGTCAGAGAAACCCGTTTGACAAAACTCTCCATTGCGCACGTCCCTAACTTAACGAACCGATTGGTTTTGTGAAGCTTAATTTATATTTTTTTTATTAGTAAAAAAAGAGAACGACGGTGCTACGGTTCTAATCTTAAATTTTGTAAATGCTACCTCAATTCTTAGTTTCTTACCGCTAACCCGATCCCAGTACTTCTTCAATTTATACTTTGTCAGAGTTTGTATATTATGTTTTTTTTTTCTTTTTTTATTCAAACCTTAGTTTTAACTTTAAGCATCATTTTGGTAAAGACAAACGAAAAAAAGGTGAGAAATAGAAAATGAAAAAATAAATGAGTAAAAATAAAAAAGAAATAAAGTAAAAAATCACTTTTCTTATTTTAAAGAAAAAAAAAAAAACTATAAAATTTATTTAAATCCCTTTAAGGTTGGCATTCTACACCTTGGCGTGAAGAACGCTTTAAGGTTGGCATTCTTAACAATCTACACCTTGGCATGAAGAGCGCTTTAAGGTCGGCATTTTCAACAACCTACACCTTGGCGTGAAGAGCGCTTTAAGGTCGGCATTCTACACCTTGGCGTGAAGAGCGCTTTAAGGTAGACACGTTCAACAAATCTACACCTTGGCGTGAAGAGCGCTTTAAGGTCGGCACAATCTACACCTTGGCGTGAAGAGCGCTTTAAGGTAGACACGTTCAACAATCTACACCTTGGCGTGAAGAGCGCTTTAAGGGCGGCATAGTCTACACCTTGGTGTGAAGAGTGCTTTAAGGTAGACACGTTCAACAATCTACACCTTGGCGTGAAGAGCGCTTTAAGATTGGCACAGTCTACACCTTGGCGTGAAGAGCGCTTTAAGGTAGACACGTTCAACAATCTACACCTTGGCGTGAAGAGCGCTTTAAGGTCGGCACAATCCATACTTCGGCGAAAAAAACCCTTCAAGGTCGGCATTTTAACGACCCATACATTGGCCACGACGTCGCATTAACGGCGGATTTTAACAACCTGTACATTGGCGAAAAAATGCCCTTCAAGGTCGACAATTTAACGATCTACGTCTCTTGGCGTCAAAGCATCTTAAGATCAAAATTTTTCAACAATCTACACCTTGGCGTGAAGAGCGCTTTAAGGTCGACATTCTTAATAATCTACACCTTGGCGTGAAAAGCGCTTTAAGATCGGCATTTTAACGATCTATACCTTGGCGTGAAAAGCGTTTTAAGGTCGGAATTTTATTTTTTACAATCTAGACCTTGGCGTAACAAACGCTTTAAGGTCAGAAATTTAGACGATCTACACCTTGGCGTGAAGAGCGCTTTAAGGTCG